CAATTAAGGATAAGAAAATTAAAAACCTAAATAGATATAGAGTGTATATTAGCGCTTATAGGCAATACCGGTCCTAAATCAGAGTTATTAAAAGGCCAATGTCAAGCTCTTATCAGCAAGGCTTAAGGACCCAAGAGAAAGCCGTGACCAAGACTGCGTAAGTCCGTATGCGAGTAAGGTTGAGATAATGAGATGTAACCTTGTAAGGATTTAAGTCAAGTTACGAACGGATACGAAAATGAGGGGATGACACCTTACTGCACACTATTGGAACACATTTATGGCTTATAGTAACAGCCGAAGTGATTTTCATCACTAGGCTTATAGTATAAAGTTAAAGGTGAACAAAGTTTTGCGCAGACAGTCCTTAAGTCTCTTAAATTGCTTTTTACAAGCCAGCCAGGTTCCTATTTTGCTTGGCGAGGTATCGAATGGGACTAACCAGCACACAGCCGATAATGTAAGCTAAAGAGCCTGATAAATACTGAATTGTCTAAATATAAAATAACTCTATTTTGTTGTTCTTACACCAACTAACTCACCCTGGCTGAGATGCTCTACTCCGGCGTACGGTACTTGGCCGCATTTCAATACAACCAAGACTGTGTCTTTGTAGAGTGCCACCAAAGCCGCCAGCCCAGGTTTCAAGTTTATCAGCACCGGATCCGTAAAGATCTACGTCTACTCCAGTGTCGGATTCGAGGCCTAGACCCAGAGCTGACATCATGGCTTCACATTCACCTCGCGCGGCCTCCGACTCCTCTCCATTTCTCCTATCATCCTCCTCACCTCCATTCCCTTCTTGTTCCTCCTCCCCACCCTCTTCTTCCAGAGTCCCCGGGAGCGAAAAGCCCAAACTTCCAGGCGTTAGTTTCCGCTTTGACTCAGAATAGCCAGAAAGACCGACGGAATCTGGTGAGGGCATCTGCGACCCCAAAGGTTCGGAGCCTACCGCAGGTCCCGTGCATCTTCCGGTGAACAGGGATGAAGATTGCCACCAAGTAGCAGGTGGTGATGCTGACGCTTTAGAGTCCGTCTCGTCGAGTGGAGTCTGAGACTGAGCCACATCTCGCGGAGCACAACCGACGACCTGTCGTATTCGATGTGGTTCAGAGCTCTCCTCCAGGCTGGTAATAGCGAAGTGCTTAGACGAGCAAAAGTCGCGTAACGGACCAGCTAGGGCAGTTGCTACTAAGGCATTGAGAGGACTGAAGGCTGGAAATGCAATTTCGCCTGGATTGTAAGTGCATTAAAAGATCGAGTGAGCTTGTTGTTAAGTATATATTTAGGTATAAACAATCCAAAAATAAAGATTATAAGTTGATTTGAGACAGAAATCGATCTATTAAATATAATATAAGCCACATAAAGCTAGTGTGGAATATTAAGCCAGGTTTGGAGAACTTTCCATGTGAAACTTACCTTAATTTTTGTTTGTAAGGGATTCATACCCCAACGGAGCAGAGACTAGAAAAGAGTATGGTACTTTCAGTATGAACTAGTTTTAAAATATCCTATTTTTATCATTCCATTGAAAAGATAGACCTGGATAAGCAAAGGCTTCTAGGTGAGAAGTTTCTTTTTAAAAGGACACGACCCTATAGCATTGTGACTACTGCGTAATATCTAGTTTAAGTGACAGTAACTATTGTTAGGATATAGCCGTTCCGAAAGCTTGCACCGAATTCCAATTAAACACGCACCTTAAAAGACTCTTACCATCCAATGTGAACTAAATTTGATCAGCATTCCCAAAAGTATTCTGAAAAAGGAAGCGATGTTAGGTGGCAAAAAGAGAACATCTCAAAACAGCCTCCAGAAAGATGCAAAACGAAGCAACAATACAGGATCCAAGTCTTCTATGTAATTTAGCGTTGTCAGGTTCACGTACAGTCCAACGAAACCAAACTGGTCTGATGCATCTCGATTCCTGATAGCTGCAAAAGCAGTAATTAAACCAACCTTTGAAAACTTCTCCTGTGTGACTAAATTTATTTCTCTATAGCTGAGGATAGTTGAGAAAATAGGCTGAATCAAGATAGCTGAAAGATAGCCAAAACGAGGTGTGAGTTAAAGAATAATATTTGAATCCTTTGGCAAATAAAAGTCGTGTGTAGAGCCTGAATTTTTAATCTTAGATGTATGATATTCAGCATAGGTAAGCTAATTGTCCCAGCAATGGGTGAAACAAACTGGCTTGGTTACGAAAAGTATTTTAATCGCCTGCTTTTAAAGAAATGGTTGACT